CTCCGCCCACCCTGTTTTGAACTATGGTTTTGTTATTAAATGAAAGACAAAACAGGATCGACACACCAACAGAAAGTCATGCTCTGGCACTTCAATCAGTATATGTTATATTCTGAGCTATTTTTATCCAGTCAAATATGACATGCTGTTTCCTTAAGAAATCCCGTCTAAAGGCTAAACAATCAGAAGGTACAAAACAAAAAGTCTTTCCAATGTCTGAGTCTTGGTTTCATGTTTTCTCCTTACTTGTAGGATTGTTCACTGAAACATTTTGAAGTCATCCTTGTGTGGGTACCTGTACTCATTTCTACAGCTGAAAGACTGTAGAAGAAGCTCGAGTTTTTCCATAGCTTACAAAATAAGATAGATAAAATGCAGAATGCCTGTAAGAATAGTTATTTGATTCTTTACCGGATGTTGAAAATAGCTCTTAGACTTTTTGTGTCAAAGTCCAGTGAACAGAACACTGAATTTCTGTAGCTTGTGATCATTGTGACAGATTTTTGTCTATGTTTTATTATTATTTCTTACACGTTCTTAAGTATATATGGTAAATTTTTAATCTCATTAATTAATCATTTAGGTCATTATTTATGACCCAAAATATATTCCCTTCTAACTAAAACTGTAAGATACTGTATCTTCCTGGACCATCCAGGTTTTTTTTATTCTGATTCTCATGTCATCCTGAGTGCTTACTAGATGGATATGCTTTCTAGTTTGCTATCCAGTATCTCCTTTTTTTTTAAATTAGTTTCTTTGTGTTTTTATATATGCTTCTGCAATACATAGCCTTTCCACAGCTAGTTAATTCTTTTCTTCATAATTTACCCTACACAGTGTTTTACAGTTATTTGTAGCTCAGTGTAACAAGTATTTAATATTTTTTTTTTTTTATTGCAGATTTTGTAAAGATAATTTTGACCGAGGCTACAAGGCGACCATTGGAGTGGATTTTGAAATTGAACGTTTTGAAATAATTGGAATACCATACAATCTCCAAATGTAAATTGAAACAGCATGGTTAAGTATTGCACAGAGTACAATCACAGCAGAACTTGAAATGCTGCAGGCTCTAGTGGAATAAAGATTTTTTAAAAAATTGCACAAAGAATAATGTGATCTGAAAAACAGGTTCTGCACCTAGACTTGCAGTTTTATTACTTTCTTGTATTTCTCATCCCTAAGAAATATTATAATATATAAAATGTTCATCTTGGATGTCTTGTGCCATTTCAGTGGAATTCTGCCTTTTGTACTCCAATTTCTTGAAAGAGGAGTGTAAGCTTTTGCCACAGCCAGTGTCCAGTTCTAGTGTTATACCATTGTCTCATTTGAGTTTGGTAGGCACAATGAGCACTGAACTTGGCTTTACTGGGAGTTTTATTCCTGCAGCCATTGAAATTAATGGTAAGGTGTCCAGTGATTTCAGCATCTCTTAATTAGAGACTAATTGACTTTCCCCAAATCATAGGAAGATTGGAGTGTTTTTATTAGAATGTGAACGTAAAATCTTTGATTTTCAGCTTGGTTTATCAGACTAGTGGGAATCTTGGCCTTCTCTCACCTGCTTTGGTTCTGCTGAAGGATGTCCTTTGGTTTTTCCAGTGGCTAGCAATATTGTTCTGTAGAGGGCATTATTGAATCGTCTATGCTGTAGTGTGACCTTAAGCAGAAATAAGATGCTTTGCAGGAAGTATTTTAGTGCATGAATCTTAAAAACCTTTTCACTTAGGAACACATTTTCTGTGAGATATCGTTGATATAAATAGATGGCTAGTGGGATTTATTGAAAAATACTTAGAAATACATTTCCCACTGATTTCAGTGCTATTGTGCTTTTGAAAATTTTGCCAGGCACAGTCCTTTTGGAACCTGAGTCCCTCTAAAAATGTAGACTGTGTATCAGTACTTTGCCAGCTGAACCAATAAGGTTCATGAGCTATTGAAGGTCAGGCTGCATTATCTGCAGAATCTGCAGTGGCTGGGTAGAATATTTCCATATGATAAGCACTAGTGCCCCCTTTTGCTGAGAGATTTCCTTATTAGATAAATTTGCAAGTAGCCATGACTAGCAGTACTAGGCTATAACAAAAACCCAAACCTCTGTAGTGCCGGCAGTAGCCAAGAGGACTGTTTATCATGTTCTTGTTTTTCTTTAATGGTGTCACTAGTACCTGGTGAACTGAGCTGTAGGTCTCTAATTTGTAGTGTATGGACAGATACCATATCTAGCAGTTGCAAGATTCTAATATGGGCTAACATGTGATTTAGCTAGTATTAGCACAGAAAATTTTCAAAATTAGATTGCCCTAGAAATGCATGCAAATGACATACATGAGGAAAAAATGCTTTAAGACAAGGATATGACCATGCAGAATATGAATATATTGAGTTCAAATGTCTTCATTAAATAATAGAGCTTTACTGTATTTCAATCTGTAGCTAATGAATAACAGCTTCCAGATGGTAACACTTTTCTGGTATCACATTCTTCTCCACTTGTACCAGTCTGCTGCTTCATTAGCATGTTTACTCAGGTTACACTGAGTTTCATTAATCTGAAATTTCTTTTTTTTTTTCCCCGTTGCACAGATGGGACACTGCAGGTCAGGAGAAGTTCAAGTGCATTGCATCTGCTTACTACCGAGGAGCAGAGGGTGAGAACAATATTCATTTGATCCTGGCTGTGACAGGAGGTTGTACTTTATATGAAAACATATATGCATATGTGCTCCTTGGAAGGGTACCTGTAGACATAGTGTGATGGAATGGGTTATCCATTATGGGAGAGAAGAAGGGACTAAAAAGCTCATGAATTGAGATGTTGTCACACCTGCAAACTCTAGATGTTCTGATGATGCAGTGATAAAAATTAGCACTTGTGTCTAGGGGGAAAAGAATTTGGGTTTGAGTAAGATCATTGCTGAAGTTAGAAGCGGATACTTCTGGCATTGCGTTTGGTAAGAGGCAATTTCTGCAGGAATTAAAATGGTCCCAAAACAAAAGGAGTAATAGCACTACAGACTGCAGACTACAAGACTAAATAAGGTTGAAGACTGAGGAGCTCAGTCTTCCTGGGTGCTAGAGGAGGAAGAGGAATGAGCAAATGGATAGTCTTCCATCTCCTCTGTGTCAAATCTGTTCTTGCACTTTGTGTGTAAACATATTCTGTCTGTTTAACAAGATGAGCTGGAGAGACTTCTGATACACTTTCTAGCTTAATTACTTTTTTTCTGTTATTGTCTTTTATTGCAGTTATAATAACAGTGTTTGATCTGGCTAATATCCAGACTCTGGATCACACCAAGTAAGTTTCTGTATTTTGACTTAGCCTTTAAAGCTTTTACGGCAGGTTTAATTGCCTTGGATAGCCTGTAGTTGCTGAGAACTTGCTGGATCATAAGTGTATTTTCTATTGAGCTAAGAAATTAAGAATGACAGTCACTTGTTTGGATTATATAGGGTGGGATTTTTTTCTGCAGAAGATGCAGAGCATCTATTTGAACTACTTACCCTTGACTTCCTTTATAGTCAGCAGAGAGGAAAAAGGTACTTCAGTAAGAGCTTGATCTTCCAAAACTAGACATGCAGGAAGAGATGAAGTGCACCCCAAAAGCATCCTCTTTTTTTTTTTTTTCTCCTTTTGTTATAAACAGAATAACAGGCTGGGATCTGATGTAAATGGTGAAACTGATGAGATGCATCTCATGCATAATGTGTCAAGAGTCTCTCATTTTCTAGGTGCACTGCTAGTCCGAAATTATTCTCTTTCTCTGGTTTCTGTGGTGATTCTGTTGGGAGGTAGGCTGTCGAAAAGAGGGAGCGTTAAAAACTCAAGGCCTTTTGTTATAAACAGAATAACAGGCTGGGATCTGATGTAAATGGTGAAACTGATGAGATGCATCTCATGCATAATGTGTCAAGAGTCTCTCATTTTCTAGGTGCACTGCTAGTCCGAAATTATTCTCTTTCTCTGGTTTCTGTGGTGATTCTGTTGGGAGGTAGGCTGTCGAAAAGAGGGAGCGTTAAAAACTCAAGGTATATGTAGATATAACTGAACTCACTGGTTCAGATACTTGTAATGGTTTGGTTACAGCAGCACACTAATTGTTATGAGTAAACTTGTTCTGCTTTTAGTGCAGACTGCAAAACCCTCTATGGATCTATGATCCACATTGTTGTTGCCAGCTCAGAGTGTATATTTTTCTAACATACTATAGTGACTGTAATGCAGGTACATTTTTCTTTACAGCCTGTACTCTGTCTTATATGGATGTGTGTTAGGCTATTTCCTTAGACTACTGCTGTGGCACTTAGCTCATTTACATAGGACTTTGTAAAATAATATACATATTAGTGTCTCTGCTTGGCTGAAAATAATTGAAGCCTGTGAACCTGATTTCCCACACACGCACACATTCCCTTCCCTCCTTGACTTATGTTGGATGACTCAAGAGGAATTTGACTGCCAGAGTAACAAAAATATAAAAGCTTGTGAGACAAGAATCATGCAGCCTTCATAGGGAGCTGTTTTATAATGCTGAATAGATTATTTCACTCTTCTTTATTCCCATTTGTATCTAATCATCTGCTATGTTGTTCACATCTTTTCCTCTGCTCCTTGTTTTCTTACTCCTGATCAAAACTTTGCCCCCTCCCTCCCCCTTGTACTGATAAATACCCTAAGTGCTAAAATCATTGTTGAATTTGCACTCTACAGTGGGCATGTTTGAACTTTTCATTAGAGGAAGGCATGTATTGAAAGGAGTTGGAGTAGCTCCTGGTCTCTTTCTATCTAGAAAAAACAGCTCTTTATTATCTCATAGAAGTTCATCCTCCCACTTTTCTTGTGACCCTGTTATCTGTCACTTTCTCCTATATTCCTCAGTCCTTCTGACTGATTCGCTCATTTCTTTTTTGTGTTTCAGACAGTGGCTAGAAGATGCATTGAGGGAGAATGAACCAGATTCCAGCTTCATTTTTCTAGTTGGAACAAAAAAAGATCTGGTGGTAAGTAAATTGAATCCGGATAAGGAAATCGGCTTTCTCCTAGTTCCTCGGATGATTTCCCTTACAAGCTCTACACAATGTTGTTGTGATAAAAGCCTTGAGGAAAAAACCTAAACAGAGAGGAAGAAGATCACAGATAAGTAGAACAGCACACTTGGAACCAATTTAAGAAGACACCTTCTGAAAAAATGGTTCGTGAAATATCCCTATTTCCATTCCTTGAATGACATTTTCCAAGCACATACAAACAGCTGAAAAGGCAGAGAAAAGTTGGGTACACAAAAAAGCAGAGTACCTAATGATCTTGAAGGTTTCCATGGTTTGTTTTTTTAGGGACAGTGTGTTCATTATTCAAGAACATGGAAGAATTCTTACTTAATTGAATGTGATGTCATTTGCAGAAAAACAGGATACAATGCACTCACTCTATACTGTTCAGAGTCTTGTGTTTGTCTTTCTCTTTTTTCTTGTGTCTTCCTCTATCAGTTCTTAAAGATTTCAAAACAAACTTGCTTCTTCTGATGTTTAGTTGATTTTTTTTTTATTTTATTTTTTTTTAATTTCCCGACCCCCCACCTGCCACACTATCACTTACGCAGTTTGTTTCCTGCCCTTCACTGAAAACAAATCCCAGAAAACTGCATGTCTTGTCAGTCTTTCTGGTACTTTGTGCTGCTTATGCTGCTTTTTCCGAGTTGCAGTAAAAGCTAAATATGCCAGACCTTTGAGGATGCAGACCTGAAGTCTTGTCTAAGCTAGAATTCCTTCCTGTAATTTAGCTTCTGTTTTTAGAATGCTAGCACTTTCAACTGAAAGGGAGGCAAGAGCAAAGCCAAGGGCTGTAGGTTCTAGGTGGTACTTTGGTATGAAGCTAGTACCTTTCTAGCTGGATTCACTCTACTTCTCATCTTGATGTCACATCATCCTTTCCAAATTTTTGGAGTTCTTCTCAATTGTGCAGGGGTTCCCCATTATAAGACAATGCACAGAAAACTGTACAAAGACAGACAACTGGTATAATCAATCACAAATGGGCTAGAAATTGAAAGCAAATATGTGACATACTGATATGGTCTATCACGGAGAACAAATGAAAGGGGAGAAAGACCTGAAAACTAAGAGCAAGAAAGCAAAATCTGTTGAAGGGGCAAGAAATTTTAGTCTTAAAAAGAGATAAAAAAGACCACAAATAAAAAGAGGGGAAGGCCGTTGTGTTACAACATAGTAAAAATAAATGGAGTAGAAAAAAGGATCTGAAACAGAGACAAGAAAGATTAAACCAAAAGAACCATTGTGATTAGTTGATCCTGCAACTCTTCTGCTGAGAATGATGGGGTGACAAGGACTTACTTAAAAACCAGTAACTGCACTGTTATCTTCATGGCTCCCCACCACACTAAATGGTTAGATACAATAGTCACGCTTGTTAAATGGTTTTATTTCAATGCTGTGGGAGATGGAGACTTCCATTTTACAAGCAGTACTAAGTACTTGAATGTTCTTGCAATCATGTCTGATTGCACAAGGCAAGGCCAGAAACGCCACTGTGAAAACTGCAAGCATCACAGAATAGGTACTAGCAGTACTTCGATGTTATTACCAGCCCAGATACAATTCTTACGTTAAAGTTATTCCATGTTATTTCCTCAGTCAGGTGCTGTGTGTGAAAGGACAGAACTAGATGCCATCCACCTTGCCAATGAGATGCAGGCAGAGTACTGGTCGGTTTCAGCCAAAACAGGTAAGTTACTGCAAAGGATGTAAAAAATGGTGTAACCACGAAGGCTTACGTAAAGGTGGGAGGAAGCTGAAGTTCCTCATCCCCCCCATTCCCATGCAGGTTTTTTTGTTGTTCTTGCATTTTGTTGCTATTCAAAACTTCAGGTTTATTAATGGTTGATTTCATTTAGGCTTGCACTGTCATGTTTACAGCAAGGAGTGCTTGAGCTGCTGTGCAGTGTCTAAGCATGTTTAATTGATAGGTAGTTACATAAATACACATGCACTGCTACATTAGCAATGAAAAAAGATTATACCACAAGCTCTCTCTGTTGCTGACTAAAAAGAAAGGTACAGTACAGGGTACAATATTCCAGAGTAAGAAAATGAGAAATTCTCTCTGCAGTAATCAGACTGGAGGACAGATTGTTGGAGTGGCCTGTTCTGTCAGTATTGAGCAGTGATCTGTTCACAGATGTGCTTGTTATGCTTGATCATGTGTTGATGTGGAGTTGTAAAACCACATAATTTCTGCCCTGTTTCCTAGGGGAAAATGTCAAAGAGTTATTTTCAAGAGTTGCTGCTTTGGCCTTTGAACAATCCATGATAAAGGAGCTGGAGAAAACTGCTGGACACATGACCCAAATTGGGGCAGGAAACCTCATCAGTATGTTAAGTTTTGCCTTTTGTGGGTATTTTCCTGTTTTGTGCATCCAGCCCTGGAGCCCTCAGCACAAGAAGGACATGGACCTGTTGGAGCAGGTCCAGAGGAGGCCACAAAAATGGTCCAAGGGCTGGAACACCTCTGCTGTGAGGAAAGGCTCAGAGAGTTGGGGCTGTTCAGCCTGGAGAAGAGCAGGCTCCAGGGAGACCTGATTGAGTCCTTCCAGTACCTGAAGGAGGCTTATAAGAGAGCTGGAGAGGGACTTTTTACAACGGCATGGAGTGATAGGACAAGAAGTAATGGCTTCAAGCTGAAAGTGGGGAGATTTAGATTAGATATAAGAAAGAAATTCTTTACTATGAGGGTGGTGAGGCACTAGAACAGGTTGCCCAGAGAAGCTGTGACTGCCCCGTCCCTGGCAGTTTTCAAGGCCAGGTTGGAGGAGGCTTTGAGCAGCCTGGTCTGGTGGAAGATGTCCCTGCCCATGGCAGGGGGGTTGGAACTGGATGGTCTGTAAGGTCCCTTCCAACCCAAACCGTTCTATGATTCCTTGTTTAGAGTCTGAAGGATTGGGGAGGTTTTTCAAGCATTAGAGCCTGTTTCAAACACCTGCAAGCATATTCATGTTCTTGTCTACCTGAGTTCTAGCATATAGGAGTGGCTGCATGCAGCTTTTGTTACCCTTGGATTTGGATTATATGATTTCTTGTGAATTTATTTTATAACTTTTTTGTTTCTGCAGAACTGGAAAAGAACATGATAGAAATTCCAGAAGGCAACACTCGAGTCAGCCTGAGTTGCTGCTAACTGTCAACTGTTTCTGCAAGCGCCATACTTCTCTGTAGTCCAGCATAGAGCACCTGCAACAAATAAAACCCTCAAACCAGAAATAGAAAGTTTTGTTTTTGGAAATGAGGGAGGAAAAACTTATCCAGACTTGCTTTCTGAGAGCTCCCTTGCTGCTGCAGGCTCACTTGTGCAAGATGGTACAGTTGTTACATAAATTTATCTCTGTGTAGTGGAAGCGTAACATCCTTGTCTTAATGCAAGAAGACATTGCCAGTGCCATGTGCTCACCTGTCTGCCAGAAACACCTGTAGTCAGAAGTTGTGTAATTTTAGTGCGTTGTTATTTGATAATTCTCTAGATGCCTTAAATAGTGAAGTCGCATTCTCATGGGAGCAGAAAACAAATGGCAGTTCAGAATAAAGGGTGCTATCGATATGTTTTTGCCTTTTAATATCATAGTATAAAATAACTGACTTGCTTTTATGCATTCCAAATATCTTAAAACTGTTCCAAAAGAAGTATTTTTCAGTAACAGGTATGGAACTACACAAACACAGACTGCATAGTTTCCACTGTGGTTTCCCCATCCAGGAAAAACCTGTACTATTTTTTGTTTTCCTCTTGAGAATCAGAGCCCAGTATTTAAATATTCCCAAGCCTAGGAGAAGTCCAGGTAGGAACTTTGTTCTTTTATCCCAGCTGTCTAATATTTTTAAAATATTACCAGGTAAGCATGCTATTCTTTTTCCACTCTCTTGAATAAGAAAGAATGGTCACATAGATGCATGGCATGGAATACATGAAATCTAATTTTTCTGTCTTCTAAAGAGGATGCAGAATCCTTCTCTGGATTGATCTTCATGACTGTTGTCTACAATGCAGTTCTACTTTATTGCTAGGAGTAATGATTTTTTCATTTTATTCTGACTGGGTTTTTTTGCTTGTAGTGATGTAACATGATTCTGGAACCCTACACAGTCTCAGTCATGAACTCGTTCATCTCTGTCTGTGGTAGGAACTCTGAGCTGGTAAGGTTAGATTTGATACTGCTGCTAAACTCTCAGTCACTCTGTCTGCTTTTACTGGACAAGATAATTTGATCACTAGATGCTGGGAGCAATTTGCCCCACTGCTTAATAGAAGAGTAAAGGTAGAGAAAAAGTTTTGCCATTTTGTGAAAAGACTTGTAAGTGTATGTGGGTTTAGAGGGATGCCTTTTCAAATAACCTTTAACATAACCTTGTGCAATTAGTTCTTTGGAAATCACAACCGTTGTTTAATGGGGAGAGATTGGCTCTGGGTACCACTGAATTTCATCAAAGTAAAGCAGCTTTACAATGCTATTCTGCTTTTTGGGCA